TACTATTGAGCTAGCATCGGAAAAAATGTATCTGGAATGTTCTGCATTTGGGCCGAAACTGCGTTATAAGACTTGACCCTAAACCCACCCACCCATGTATATATGAATAAAAATGTGAATTTAAGTGAGTATTTCATTGTGTTCACACACACACACACACACACACACACACACACACACAACCCCCTCCCCCCTCCCCCCCCCCCACACACACACACCTTATCCAACTCACTTACTGTCTTAAAAATAACTTCCTGGTTTTATAAAACCTTACAGAATCAACTTTATCGGTTGTGACATTTTTAATTTCGGAGCTGTTAAATATTATGTAATTAATTTTAACCTGATCTCTAAATATTTCAACACTTTTTACGTAGCGTGTGGACAAAGGGCGGGTAATCGGTAACCGCGGCATTCAGCAGACGATCACGTGTTTTATTGACGTCACTCAGCAGACGTTCATGTCTTTTATTGACGTGTTCCGTGTGTATTAGCCATGATACATTTGCAATGAAAATATCTGCCAATGATGACGTAATATCACACGTAGCCAATCAGCTAATCATATCACACGCAAACACCGGGACAACAAAAAGATTTCGGAAAGAGAAAACTTGAATTATTCGAAGGGGAAAAACTCAGTTTACTGGGAAAATACTCAGTTGGGGAAATCGTAAACTAACTCTGATCACTGCCATTGTTAGGTGTATAATGATATGTGATGTTTCTGTTGATGTGATGTTTCTGTTGATGTGATGTTTCTGTTGATGTAATGTTTCTGTTGATGTGAGGTTTCTGTTGATGTGATGTTGATGTGATGTGATGTTGATGTTATGTTGATATGATATGAAATCGATGTGATGTTTCAGTTGATGTGCTGTTTCTGCTACATAACTGTTAAATTAAATGTATAGTGTGAAGGTGTGGGTGGTGTGGGTGGCGTGTGGGTAGTGAGTGGGTTAAAATACTGTCACCAAATTTCAACATTTCATTCTCCATTTTTTTTTAATTAAATTTTCAATCAGTCTGGTAATAGATCTGAAACAATGCCGTTTCATTAGTATTTAAATTGCTTTAATGAGTTGTTTTTTTTTAAATTGCTTTATGTGGAAACGACTTTGTTATTAGTTGGTTTAGTTTTGTTTTTATCTGAGCGTGTACACAAATTGGAAAACTCCCCCTCTGTTGAGGAGAGTTCTACATCCACTAAGTTTGTTTTAAACAGCTGGTGTCATCACATGTGTGAGTACCATTTGTACAGTTCACCCAGGCTAGAGAGCAGATGTTTTAGACGTGAGTACCCAGGGCCTCGTCTGACATCTATTTATACTTGCATTGATTCTAAACTCAGCCTCTATCTCATTTACCTCTCCCACTTATCGCCGAGAGGGATTATGTGATTAGGGATTATGTGATTAGGGATTATGTGATTAACTTCATTCGCTGTATCAATGACAATAAAAACAATTACTCAAAAATAAAATACAATCTTCTTGTGTGGCGAATTAGGCAATTCAAAACGACCCGGGCACGGGAGAGAGGGACCCCCCGGGGAGTGTAGGGGCTCCCTGGGGTAGATTTTTTGCTCCTGCAGCCTGCTTGTCTCTGGGGGTGTTGATTTGCTTAATAGAATAGATGGGTCCGGGGATTCGATGTGACGCAGGGACGGGTCAAATTTGATGCAATGTGACAGCCCGGTCGGCTGGGGGGCCTGGGCGACACCGCGGCTACAAAGTTGATTCCTGGCCGGGCTCCCCGTGTGTCAGGCGGACAGATGATGGGGGTGGGGGATTAAACAGTTTGGACACGGCATTGCTGTGGTCAGCATTCTTAAACATGCAAGCGGTTTTTTTTATTTCATATATGTATTTGAATATATATATATATATATATATATATATATATATATATATATATATATATATATATATATATATATATATATATATATATATATATATATATATATATATATATATATAATATAGTTTATGTGTATAGTTTATTTCCATACACCAACCACGGTTGTGATCGAGATCAGCTGAAGTTGAAAATGTTTGAGAATTAAATACGTGTGATCAACCGTCGGCCATCAACATAGGGCCAACAACAGACCCAACAACCGTGAGCCAAAAAAGAGGGCCATCAACCGTTGGCCATCCAACCGTTGGCCATCCAACCGTTGGCCAACATAAGACCATCTACCGTGGGTCAACATCCGATGGCCTACAATCCTGGGCCAGCATCAACAACATCTCACATAAGTGGCTGCAGGAAAATAAACCGCTGAATTAAGTGCAGGGAGGATATTTTTTAAATTAGTTTTTAAAAGCAGACGCGTAGTGTAAGCAAAAACCAGACTTCAGAAATAACGAGGATCTCTGTAAATGCGATGTATAGCCCGAAGGCTTCTCAACTATTAATTTATCAAAATTACAGACATTTTTTCCTGCGCGATATTTTAATGGGAATCGTTGTACGTACAAGCGGCTGTTGAATTGAAGCAAAAAAATGTCTGACGTTTTTCTCGACGTTTAACTTCTCTGGTTGGAGGGGGGGGGGGCTGCTATGTTTGAAACTTGTTGACAAAAACAAGTGGATGCGTGCAGCCCAAGGGACGGAACTCACGATCCAAGTTTGGTGACTGGGTGGAAGGGAAACCATCGAATGAATGTCGAATGTTTGTTTGGTGAGCGATAGTTGTATCAGGGACTTAGTCAAACCATTGGTGATAAAGGAATGTTTGTTTGGTGAGAGACAGTTGTATCAGGGACTTACTCAAACCATTGGTGATAAAGGAATGTTTGTTTGGTGAGCGATAGTTGTATCAGGGACTTACTCAAACCATTGGTGATAAAGGAATGTTTGTTTGGTGAGCGATAGTTGTATCAGGGACTTACTCAAACCATTGGTGATAAAGGAATGTTTGTTTGGTGAGAGACAGTTGTATCAGGGACTTACTCAAACCATTGGTGATAAAGGAATGTTTGTTTGGTGAGCGATAGTTGTATCAGGGACTTACTCAAACCATTGGTGATAAAGGAATGTTTGTTTGGTGAGCGATAGTTGTATCAGGGACTTAGTCAAACCATTGGCGATAAATCACAACATGATTGGTCGGACCTAACCCGGAGCTTGGGGTTGAAATCTCCTCAAATGGCGTGTCCATTTCTTCCTAAGTTAGTCCTGAAAGCTGATTAACGGCCCCATGCTAATGGTATTTTCTGGTTTTTAAGGATACTTGTTTTTTATTCAGGTTATATTTGCTTAAGGGGTACGCCATTCTATACAAATCAGTAATATTTTGTAATTGGACAGCGATGCAATATTCTGTGGGATAGAACGGCATAAAAAAATATCTCAGTACATCGACTCAAGGCTAGAACGTCGGTAGTGTCCACGAGCATAAGAGAAGAGTGCTCACGGCATTCTATCAAGTGCCAGTTAATGAAGCATATCTAGGAGGTTTCAGCTAATCATGTTTGAATCATGGCTCATCTTGAGTGTTCTATTATTTATTGCCATCTCATTCTTTGAACGTCGTGAGCATGCATGTAAACGCCACGGGAGTTGCGTCCCTTAATTGGTTACTGTTAGAAATAAAAGCCACGAAAGTTGCGTCCCTTAGTTGGTTACTAATTGAAATATTTTGAGCTAGTAGCCTCAGAACGGAGGGAGGGGTGATAACAAGTTTTAACAGATTAAACTTGAATTGAAGTTTAGTTTCTTTTAGTAAGTCTGTGCGTGTGGCGGGAGGGGGGGGGGGGGAGAGAGTTGATAATTTTTTTTATTTTTCGAGAACCAAAGAACTTAGAAACGGATCATAAACTACTGACGTAGACTTGGGCGTGAGTTTAACAAGTTATGGGTAAACATCATTCATGTAGACTCTGGGTTGGTAATGCGTCTACGTCTGCTGGTGTATGACGTCACTTCCTGTCCCGGCGTGAATCCAATGACTGTCTGTATGGCAGGTCATTGTCCAACAGCCCGAGCAGACGACTACGGAACAGCGAGCCAGCGAGGCTGTCAGAGAAAGAATGCAGCGGCAGTTTCCGCCCATTTTCTCAGAGTTAACTCCCTTAAGTATAAATAAAAACTCTCTTTGTTCATTATTGAACACATGAACATTCTAACAAACTTCCGTCATTTTTTTAAATAATTACACTGACAGTCAATCGTTTCAAACATGCAAAAAGTACTTTGTCGCTGGTATTCTCCTGTGATTATTTTATAACAAGAGCGCAATCATTTCATTGATCTGATTTCTATTTCTGCGCAGCATTTAATTCCGTGTCCGTAGGTCCGAGCAATTATTTTAATAGCTGCGTCTCATCAATGATTCACCCCCCGCTCTGTGCCGGCCTTTGTCCGGCCCGCCAGTGGCCCGCTAGTGGCCCGCTAGTGGGACCACTGCCATTGACGCGGGCTAATCTTCTGTCTTTATCTATTAATAAATCATACGGCCAGTGTAAAATCGTTTAGCCGCGGCCTGCTTGCCTAAAAATTTGTGATAAAATTTCCGCGATTTTTTTTTAGTTTATATTAAGTGTTGTGATAGAATGTTTTTGCCATTAATTTAACATACAAAAAAAACTGTTCCATAAAGAAAGAAATTAAAATACCATGTCATTTGAAAGCAACATCTTAAGAAAACCTGTTGAAATGTGTCCAACTTCCAACAAACAACCCCTTCCCTCCCCCTTTTTGAAGCCCACCCCCTACACACGGAACATGCCCATAAAACTCTCAGTGGTAGCAGCCAACTTTAAAAGGCTTGACGCATGTTTTTATCGTCCTTTCTAATCCCCAGTTAATTGCTTTAATTAACGTCCATTCCCTTAAGATTATACGCCAGAAGATTTGTTTTTTGTGCCGATGTGCATAACGAAATATGACGACTTATTACCTCAAATGATAATTTTTTTTTAAATATTCCACCGTTTTTTCTACATGTTTTAATATTCGACCGTTTGTGTCGACATTTTTTTACTGGTAAGTTATAAATGAGCAGAAATCCTACAAAGAAAGCAGCGATAGAGGTGCCAAACACTCAGGCAGATGATGATAAGTGGGTCACCACTAGAGGTAGTTGGGTCACCAGTAAAGGTAGTTGGGTCACCACTAGAGGTAGTTGGGCCACCACTAGAGGTAGTTGGGCCACCACTAGAGGTAGTTGGGTCACCACTAGAGGTAGTTGGGCCACCACTAGAGGTAGTTGGGTCACCACTAGAGGTAGTTGGGCCACCATTAGAGGTAGTTGGGTCACCACTAGAGGTAGTTGGGTCACCAGTAAAAGTAGTTGGGTCACCACTAGAGGTAGTTGGGTCACCACTAGTGGTAGTTGGGTCACCACTAGAGGTAGTTGGGTCACCACTAGAGATAGCTGGGTCACCACTAGAGATAGTTGGGTCACCACTAGAGATAGTTGGGTCACCACTAGAGGTGGCTGGGTCACCACTAGAGGTAGTTGGGTAACCACTAGAGGTAGTTGGGTCACCACTAGAGGTAGTTGGGTCACCACTAGAGGTAGTTGGGTCACTATTAGAGATAGTTGGGTCACTACTAGAGGTAGTTGGGTCACCACTAGAGGTAGTGGGTCACCACTAGAGATAGTTGGGTCACCACTAGAGATAGTCGGGTCACCACTAGAGGTAGTGGGTCACCACTAGAGGTAGTTGGGTCACCACTAGAGATAGTGAGTCACCACTAGAGTAGTTGGGTCACCACTAGAGGTAGTGGGTCACCACTAGAGATAGTTGGGTCACCACTACAAATAGTAGAGAATGAACCAAGAGAGGTGTGTCACCACTTTATAACATTTCTACATTTTTTTAACGATGTTATTTATACTATTAATATTTTATTTACATGTTTGATACTATTCTTTGATGTTCTAATGAAAGTATATACACTTATATGGTTTTTATATATACACTTATTGATATTATACATAAACAAAAAACTCTACGTTATGTTAAAAATGAAAGGACAATACTACTTCATTTATCGTGTCCCTATTAGCCGCAATAACTGAGGGATAATAACATTCATATTTGAACAGATTCCTTCATTATTAACTTAGTTATAATACTTATTAACTTCATATGATATTAACTTACAGCGTCTATGTGAATTGTCAACTATACAATTGTAAATGAAGTATAAATCAAGCTAACGACCTACGTATTATATTAGCCATGACTCTACCCAATCAGCTAACAGCAAGCTTGTTCTAGCCAGCCTAGAAATGTGGGGTTGGGCTCTAGCTAGGGGCAGGGAAGATTTGAAGACGGGCTGGGTTCGACCCACCAAGGGGGAAAGATAACAGCCGCTAGTTTTAATGACGAAAATGTCGATGTTCGTTATCGTCCCAATCAAACTTTTTTTAAACTTGGCGCAAATCAATATCTGGGACGCTTGGGCTTTTCGCGCGGAGTGTGAAAGAAAATGATTTCAAATATTTGCAGTTGCATGTCTTTGATCGCGGTGTACTTTACGTCCTTTACTCCGCGTTAAGATCAAAAAGAAAAACCGTGGCATAGCCTCTGGGCGAATTTGTCCATCTTTTGTCGATGCCTTCAGGTTCTAATACTGTGGAGAGTTGCTTTCTCTTGAAAGGCTGAATCGGTTGAAATCATCAAACGCAAGTCGAAACAAAAGAATATCTTTCTTGTTTTGTTATTGCCTTTTCTATCGACGTTTCGTGGTCGTCGTTGTGTTTGGGTGTGAACGTGTAGGTAAACAGTATGTCTGTATATCTGTCATGTATGTAAACAGTATGTTTATTTATCTGATAAACGAAAACCAGATTCCGAATTTCAAGACAAAATATCAAAAGTATTTTGGACAGATGCTTTGAAAAAGGGCACTATATAGCATAGCAGTTGTGTAAACAGCTCATTTTGGTCTTTTATTATTATCAATGCACTTATTGCACATCTTTAATTATTCGTTCAACAACCTAAATCTACATTCATTTGGTCTAGAATGTTTTGGTCTAGAAAGTCCCGTTCTCCAATGTTTTCTACCTTGAAGGAGATGCGCATATTTTACTCTAAACCGTGTTTTTTTATCCATTCATTAATTAACTTTGGATTATCTGGAATGAAGATTTGTTCTAGGAAGGAACGCTTCTCAAATATGTCGACTAAGCTTGGTGTTTGTTCTGGAATAAGTTGCTCTAAAATCCCAGGCCGAGTTGCAGACGACAGCAACACACGTGCAGGTCGTGACGCGGACAGCAGACGATGAATAAAGGCGCGGTGCTTGTCGGAATTAGACGTTGGTCAAGCATGGTGCCAGTGGTTTATCCTGACGATGGACGTTGGGCTACCCTGGTGCCAGTGGTTTATCCTGACTTTCAGACCACTTGACCGCTGGACTCAAATGATAAACATTTACCTGAAGATTAGGATTATCACATGGTTTCTGTTGTCACGTGATATCAAACTGGTTCTGTTGTCACGTGGCATCAAACGGTTTCCGTTGTCACGTGGCATCAAACGGTTTCTGTTGTCACGTGATATCAAACTGGTTCTGTTGACACGTGATATCAATTATAACGCCACCGACATGTGGATCGAAGCACAAGTCTAAACAACTTATCACTAGTTAACATTAGATTATATTATATTTGTTTCAGAGATTTTTAAACATGGTATTTTATTGGTATCAGCATTTTCTTCAGTAACTATCCGTCTAAACCTACGTAATTTTAGTAATAAATATGCTTAATAAATATTGCACATGTTAGCAAGCACTTAATTGCAATTATTATTTTCATTATTAAACAGCAAAGAACCGAATCGTTCAAGCTAATTAGTTTCACATTGAACGCACGCTGTTCATTATTTCATGTTGTCTAGTCTAGCTTGACGCACGCTGTTCATTATTTCGCGTTGTCTAGTCTAGCTTGACGCACGCTGTTCATTATTTCAAGTTGTCTAGTCTAGTTTGACGCATGCTGTTCATTATTTCAAGTTGTCTAGTCTAGTTTGACGCACGCTGTTCATTATTTCACGTTGTCTAGTCTAGCTTGACGCACGCTGTTCATTATTTCAAGTTGTCTAGTCTAGTTTGACGCACGCTGTTCATTATTTCACGTTGTCTAGTCTAGTTTGACGCACGCTGTTCATTATTTCAAGTTGTCTAGTCTAGCTTGACGCACGCTGTTCATTATTTCAAGTTGTCTAGTCTAGTTTGACGCACGCTGTTCATTATTTCACGTTGTCTAGTCTAGCTTGACGCACGCTGTTCATTATTTCAAGTTGTCTAGTCTAGCTTGAAGCACGCTGTTCATTATTTCACGTTGTCTAGTCTAGCTTGACGCACGCTGTTCATTATTTCATGTTGTCTAGTCTAGCTTGACGCACGCTGTTCATTATCTCATGTAGTCTAGTCTAGCTTGACCCACGCTGTTCATTATTTCATGTTGTCTAGTCTAGCTTGACGCACGCTGTTCATTATTTCATGTTATCTTCCGATCAGCACAGATCAAATTACCCGGATGTGTTGCTAACGACGCGTCACCATTGCAATAATTAAGATAGCATCCAATCAAACCGCGTTTAACTACTTTTTCGGCTAATCCCTAATAGTGCGTGCAGCGCCACCTGGGAATACTGTAACTGTGCGCATATCTCGCCAAGCGTGGAAAAAGCGGTAGCGCGCTCAGACAAAGATAAACAAACACGACGCTGGCTGAGAAACAGCAGTACAATTTTATACCGTCCGTTATTGTTTTGTTTTTTTACCGCTAGAGTGGAGGGAACAATTGAAATGTTGAAGCCGGGTGAAAAATAAATGGAGACCACCCTATCATCTCAGACGGCTGATGTTATTCGATATTTGGGATATCGATTATACCTGTGGGTTTTAAGAACTGACGGTGTTAAAAATTAATAATTTAAAACAAATGGTATTGATACCCTTATATGTTTAATGTACATCGGTACGGTGTTTGATATTTTAAATATAAGGTCGAAGGTCACGTGATCTTCTGGTCATGCAACTATTGTTACCTAATGGAATAAAACAGAATTTTTTTGGGCACCAAATGTAAACAATGTAGCAAATCCTCAACACAAAATTCAATAATATCAGTTTTTTTTAGTTTTTACTAGTTTTCATTTAAATTTACATAAAAGCTAGTCATTATAACGGTTTTTATGCATTTATAAAATCTTTTTTTTTTTCATGTCACAAATTTCTGGGCTGAACTTTTCAAATATGTTTCTGAAGACAACGCAAGAATGTCTTATTTTTTAATCCAATTAGATATTAAATTAGGTATTTTAAAAAGTCAATCAGCAGATACATTCAAAAGAAAAGGGGAGGTAACTAAAAATGCCGATCACTCGATTTGCCAGATAAGGTTATGTTCGAGACATTTGTTTACATTTTTTTCGATGAATCATGTTAGTCAGGAAGTGATTATAGAATAACTCGTGGTGTGATGTTTAAAGAAGATGCCTGATCTATAGGGTATATTGGAAACTTGTTTAGCCATGAGGGATATCGGCTTCTGAACGATCGGCTTGAAACAAAATATAGGCCTCTAACTAACTTATTCTTTTTCCATGTTAAGTATCGACATAACTTTATTTCTTTACAGTTTCTAAATAATTATAAAAAAGTGAAAAAAAAGTCGAAGGCAATTTTATTAGAGATGTTGAATACACCAAAAAAAAAAAAAGAAACTTGGCGTACATTTCTGTTAAAGTTTGATTGCAAGGGGAATCACTGAAATATATTTATCAACCGACTCCGATAGCTGTACGATTAATATTACAGCTAGAGAAAATATGTTTTGTTTTGTTTTTCAGCGTTGTTACATTTGTTTTATTTGAAAATTCGGGGCTGAGAAACCGGATATTTTAGAACATCAAACGTTCATTTTTTTAGATCACTGAAGGGTAGATCAGCAATTATTTTATTTAACAGGTTAGGTAACTCCTGCCGTAACGACCGATAACTGCAGTAGCAATAGTAGCACTCGGTAGGAAAGAAGAGTAAGTCAACACCGCTAGCTGGACTAAAAACTAAACGGTGTTGATTCGCCGCTGAACGCCTGGAGTAATTTTAGAACATCGGACGGTGTCAAGTGAAAATAATATCCCTGACAAACTAACACAACATTGTCTCGGGGTATTTGACACCGCATTGGTTTCGGTCGGGGTTTTAATAAAACAGTGTCAGACAAAGGGGAATGAATCTGTCAAAAGAGTTATTTCCCCTAATGAAAATAGATTGGTCGAGTAATGAAAACCTATTGACTTTCCAGCAATAGACGTGAGCGCCAACAGGTCTTAATTTTCTCGGGATACTTGAAAATTAAATTAGTCAAAAAATGGCTACATTTCTTCACTTATATTTAACCATTAACAAAGTTAAACTCATTATATTTAAAACAGAACCGAACATTGGTACTTATATGAGACTAATTTGCTCTGAAACCCGACCCTTTTTCTTTCACTATGATTAACAAACTACTTATGTTCTAGGGATTCTCAAGCACTTTTTTCTGAACTAACTCTCTTGTATGTCTGTTGTTTCTTAGTTGGCTTATCAAAAGGCTTTTTTCCTCATTAAAACAAGTAAAAGCCCCTCCCCTCCTCCGTTTTGTAATAACGACACAACTTATAACACTTTACATTTACCAAGGTATGTGACGACAAGACTTAGAGAACCACCGTGATCAGAGATTAGTTTGTTTTGTGTTCAAATGGCAAAGATATTCGTTGTCGAGTCTCGAAATAAACGGGGTAATTAGTAAACTTAGTGGATTAATTTACTTCCAAACGAGGCGGTAAAAATGTTTTCTTCTAATATAGAGCTACAATTAATTGGGGGGGGGGATCTCGTTTAGGGCAGTTTAAACACCAGATCTGTTGGACAGGCGAAGTAGAGTTTGCTTGTTATTTGTCAAAGACAGCTCTTAGCTTTATGGGTTGAGAGATCTAGAAAGGACATAAGGACATTAGAGTATAAGGACATCGATTATA